AAATTATAGAAACTTCACTTTTTTTAAGAGTTGGGTAATTTTTATTGATACATAAAATTTGTACATCATTAAATTTAAGGCACTTTTTTTTTTTGAGACAGTCTTGGTCTGTTGGCCTCCCAGGTAGAGTGCAGTCCTGTCACCATAGCTCATTGCAATTTCACACTCCTGGGCTCCAGTGATCCTCCTGCCTCAGCCTCCTGAGTAACTGGAACTACACCCATGCACTACAACGCCGGGCTAATTTTTCTATTTTTAGTAGAGACAAGAGTCTCACTCTTGCTCAGGCTGTTCTTGAACTCCTGACCTCAAGCAATCCTCCTTTCTCTGCCTCCCAGAACGCTAGGATTACAGGCGAGAGCCATAGTGCCTGGCCAAATTTAAGAGACTTTAAAATCTAATTTATTATTTCTCTCTGGAGATAAGAAAGGCATGTAAGTCTGTCAACAAATACATTTAGAAAATATTGCATACTCATGCAATAAAAGAATTTTATCCAACTCTTGGTCAAACTGGAGAACTCTGGAGGAGTTTAGTGCTGAGTTTCTTCCCATTTCAGTACATGTGTATGTTTTGTTTGTTAACATAAAGCTCTTTTTTACACCTCCATCTGGTTCATTATTTTATGGGGCTTTTTTTTTTTTTGAAAGAAAGGAGAAAGAAAACTTCAAGCTACTCAACGTGTCCTTCAGGTTGTCTGGGAAGTCATGAAGCTCCAGAGAAGCCAGAAGTAATTTTCCCATTTAATCTGCAATCTCATTACATCACACACACATACTCACTAATAGCACTGTTATAAAAACCAAGGAAAATTCTTAAGTCTCAAATCTTTACTCTAGAGAAACTATGTAGAACTAATTTCCATTTTTTTCTTAAATCTCTGCATACATTTCTCTATTTGATAGTTAATCCGTATCTTTGAATTAGATATCCCTGGCAGTACATATAAATGGCTCAATTAACTTCCAGAAGTTGAAAGGCAATAAAGTGAGTGAATGCCAACCACAAATACAAGATGTATTACAATTGTAAACATCTATAAAAGGCCAACTACTTTTTACAAGGAGAGAAAAGGCTTTTTTTTCACTTACGTGTACACACACACACATATGAACGCACATACACAGAACTAGAAGCCTCACTTTTACAACTTCATCCATGAATCAAAAATAAAGAATAAGACTTACCAATTTATTGGAGGGAGATCAGAGACATGAAGGATGGCAGGAAGCTGCTTTCTTTCCAGCAAGCATGAAAACTTTTTCTTTAATGCTTTTTTAAGCTCCTAGTACCGTGTAAGTAGACAAGCAACATGGAGGATTCTGCCACTGGCAGAAGAAACTGGTTGTAGGCTGCAACACAAACAACTTCTTAATCCTACAGGTGACACCAGCTATTGGCCTGATTGAAATGCCAGTCCGTATTCAGAGTCCTCGAGACAGGTAAACAAGAATGGCAAATGGTTGCTTGACAGAGACTCAGAAAGTGAGCTTCCCAACATTGCTTCCACCAACTGAGAAGTGAAGCAGCTGTGTACTAATGAAAACCAGAACCAGACTTGACCAAGACCCACAAGAAGAACAGGATGTGGGGCAGGGAGTCAGCAAGGGCAAAAGCTCTAATTGTTGAATGAGCTTCATCCCTGGAGGCAAGGTGAGCCTGAGTGCAAACAGCTGATGAGGTGCATCTCGCAGGCAGTTGTTTCACTGGGTGAGTCACAGGGGCATCCCACCGGAACGTCCACCTGTCAAAGGAAAACTCAGACAAGAGTATTTAGGAATGGAGTTTACTTGCAAAGAAGACTGCAAGGGAATTTTCAGGCTTTAGAAAGACTGGCTGACAAAAAGGACAATAGTTATTTGAAAGAAAAATAACTTTCACAACTACCAATTTACTGAATTAACAATTAGCCAGGTGAGGGAGTATAACAGCAGTTTTCTCATATAATCATTCACATCTTTAAACATCTTGAGAAGCCCTGTTTTTCTCATTTGATTTCAGGTTGCAAAGTCTCTTTCCAACTACAGAGTGCTTACTGAGATAATAAAATATTTGGTTTTGCTGCCCCCAGCCTTTCCTTTAAGGCAGAGTTAGGCATTCCACTTACAAGATTCTCCCTACAAGGCAAGCCACACATTTGTCAGGTGTTTGCTTAAAGAGATGCTCGGATATCCAGTCTTTAGTCTCTACGCTGTTTTTCTGAGTGCTTAGGTTAGCAGTTCTCAACTGGTGGCAATTTCGCACACTCCACCCTCCTGCCCCCTGACATCATATGGCAACGTCTGGAGACATATATGGTCGTCACAATAGGGAAGAAGGTGCTACAAAAGCATCATCTAATGACCAGAGCCCAGGGATGCTGCTAAATATCCTAGAATACACAGGAAAGCTCCCACAACAAAGAATTATGTAGCCCAAAGTGTCAAGAGCATCATTTTTTGTTTGTTTGTTTGTTTGTTGAGACAGAGGCTAACTCCATTGCCCTGAATGCCGAGGGGTCAGCCTAGCTCACAGCAACCTCAAACTCCTGGGCTCAAGGGATCCTCCTGTCTCAGCCTCCAGAGTAGCTGGGACTACAGGTGCACATCATTACATCTGGCTAATTTTTCTATTTTTAGTAGAGACAGGGTCTATCCAGCTCTTGCTCAGGTTGGTCTTGAATTCCTGAGCTCAAGCAATCCTCCCACCTCAGCCTCCCAGAGTGCTAGGATTACAGGCGTGAGTCACCATGCCAGGCCAATAGCATCATTGTTGAGAAGCCATGATAAAGACCCTAGAGCCAGCATATCTAGGTTGAGATTTCAGCTTGACCACCTACCAGTCGTGAATGGTTGGATAATTGACTTAACCACTCTATGCCTTAGTTTTCTCATCTGTAAACTGAAGAAAACAGTACCTATATCTCATAAGGTGAAGTGCTATACAACTGCTATGGTAATCTTTATTGGAAATACAATCTATTCCTCCAGTTTCTTGGACTGCAATATATAACAATACTACTTGAATGTTTTTTCCTTTTATCTACATCTAAATTCTCTCTGCTACATTTCCAAGTCTGGAGGCTTCAACACAAGGATAAATCTTAATGACCTTCAGTGTTAGTCTCACCACTGCTAGCCATTTCTTTTGATCAAGATATATGGTTGTGCAGAAGAGTAAGGCTTGACTGTTATCCTTTGAAAGTCCTGCTTATAAGGTTGGCCCCTTTTCTCATTTGAGAACATATATTTTAGGGGTGTTTCCATCAATTCTCCAAACTGATAAACGTGGTTCAATAAGCCTACACTGTTTGTATGAAAAATACAGTGTATGGTGAATATGTCTTTCCTTCTGAGTGTAGAATTTTGCCATGTGCCAGGCAAAGGGAGCATAAATGCACTGCCCCCAATAAAAACTGTAGGCATTAAGTCTCGAATGAGCTGCCCTGGTTTGCAACATTTCACATATGTTGTCATAACTCCTTGCTGGAGGAATTAAGTGCATCTTGTGTGACTTGGTTGGCAGAGAACAGTGGGAGCTTGACCCTGGTTTCCCCCAGACTTCGTCCCACGTACCTTTTCTCTTTGCTCTTATTCTAAATTTGCTGTAATTTTCACTGTATGACTATATCCTGAGCCCTGTGACCTCCTAGTGAATCACGAAGGAGTAGTCATAGAGACTCCCAGCACAGACTTCCAGTTCTATTGTTTCATTCCACTCTTGATGATATGTAAAAGGTCATATTTACCAACTTAAAATATAACTTTATACATTTCTCATGCACTGCATTGGTAAAATATATGAGGTGATTAAGTATCATTTTCATTCTCAGCTGCTCCAAGTTTTCCTAAATCAAACATATTATCTACCATTACATACAGATGGGTCAATGTCTGGCACATTTTATAAACTAAACTGTACGATGTTTCTTTCTTCCCCTTGCATTTTTTAGTTACTACTCTTTTGACCATACCAGCAAAATCCTTGAAAGTATCTTTCCCACTTTTTGTATGAGATGCATTCCATTATCCCTGAGTTCATTATTCTGGTACTCAGATCCAAGCTCCACTCTTTAATATCTGCTATATAATCAGCTGTTAATTTTCCATATTCTTCTTCTAAAAACTGAACTTTCCATTAGAATGGTAGGTAGGGAAAAAAAAATCTTTGTGGCCCAAATCCACTGGCTTTTCTGTTCAGTTTATATTCCCCAACTAAAGATGCTTCACCCTTTTTTTCCCTCCCCTACTGAAGATTTTCTAAATTATATTCCTTGAAAACATGATCCCCAAGCTGTTTGTCAAAAGATTCTGTGGTTACCTAAGTTTGTGACATTAGGTAAGCAAAGTTAAACAGATTTCTTATAGAACTTCTCAGAACCTTTGATACAATCATTTGTATTATGTAGGAACATTTTGGCATTTTGGTTACCAAATAGTTCTGCATAAGTTACATGGAAGTATAAAACTTTTCCCGTAGGAACATCTTAAATGGACCAATATTTTACAGAATGCATTTTAAGAAATATTATGACAGTCCCCTATGCAGTAGCAGTTATCACATCTGATGTCTGAGAAGTCTGTGGATACAACTCTAAGAAGGCAAATATTATGACAAACCAGGCATAGCTACATTGCAGAATACTAAATCTATTGCCTTTTAGAACTGATGTTTAAAATATCAGCCAAAATATGAATCAAAAATGAGATCTAATAAAAACTGTTACTGGATTTCTAATTATAGATCCTTCTATAATTAGAGAAAATTAATTTTATATGATAGGGAAACAGGAAGTTTTTTTAATACTGTGGTAATAAATTATTTTCCCCATAAAAGGAAAAATAAAATTCAGTTACTTTAAGTCAGTAATCACTCAAGAGGCTTATCTATCAATGTGGAACTTGAATTGTTTGGTTTCTAAAATGGAAACAAAATACACATGAATACTAAAAATAAGACTATTGAGCAAGCATCTTTTAAAGTAACAAAAATACATGATTACTAAATAAACTCAACAAAGATGTTTGTTAATACTTTATTAGTATTTTCTAATGGACAGAACATAACACAAACCAAATAAAATTTTTAATCTTTTTAGTTCAATAAAAATAACTGACATTCTGATTGTTCTTTCTTCTTTGTTAAAGAAGGAAAGTATTGATAGAACAGTTAGGCACACAGTTGACACTTAACTGTACAATGATATGCACAAGTTATCTTTTAACAATTATAATCCTAAAATGTGCTCTTTATATTTTTCCCTTGTAATACAGGAGCCATGCTCCTATAAGCAAAATTTACTACTATTAAAAGAATTTTACAAGGAGTGACAAAAAGACTTTTAAAACAAGTCCTTAAATAAAAGGATGCAGCAACAACGGAATGTTAAGTTGTTGGGTTAAGAAGACAGTTTAAACTACATCTCAAAACATTAAAAATTCATTTATTTTACAATTACTCAAATACACATGCATTAAATGAAAATATTGCACAAAATTAAAATTTTAGATCGTGAAATTTATATTGTTCTTAATTTTTTTAAAAAATTGGTACACTTTCTGGTAGCACTTAACCATTTGATTTTTTCCAAACACCAGCAGCACAAACTTAAAATGAACAAACTGAAATATTCAAAGAAGTTTTTAATGCTTTTTTTTAAAAAAAATATTAAGGCTAACCAAGTGCATCCATTGGTCAATGGCACAATTGTTTTCAGCAACTATTCAGAACACCCTAATTATAGGAAATGCCCATCTAAGTGATATTCTTAAATCATACAATCAATTTTTTAGGTGAATATAAACTATGATGGTTTCTAAATAGTTTGTTACCTGAAAATCAGAAAACCCAAAGAACGATTAATTGTGAAAGTTCTTGCCTAAAGGCACCACTGACTTAAAAACACATTCAAAATCAAATACCAGAAGACATAAAGCCTCTTCATGTATATATTCATATATGCAATAAATGCATTAAGTGTAATAACTTTTATTAAACATAGTACACTGTACTTGACTTAGGGATTAAATATTTTACACACAGCTTGACCAAGTCATTCAAAAAGTATCTCTAATTTTAGCATGACCACGGCTTTCTGATGTAAAACGCAGATGTGCATACAGAAGATGCACTACTGTTTACATAGACTACCCTTTGACATTTCGGCTTTTGAAATATAAACTCTTTTAAACAAAAATTACTTTAAAAACCCATTTACTCAAATAATTTTTGGTATGATTGCAAGTTATCTTGCAGGGCTCTGTTTGAAAATTCACAATCTTACCTGACCTTTCTTTCCCTGGTTGATGTACACACTAGGCTCTTACATGAAATCTTCTGTATACTCTTAGATTTATTCATGTCAAAAATATACTTGAAATGGGCAGGGGTATATATGAAAATCATTGCACTTATGGTCATGCTGATGCCTTCTACAGACATGTTTCACACATTCTCAATTTTAAAGCCTGGGGCTCAGGAAGGGGCTGGGGCAGGGAGACACACTGAGAAGAAGAAATGCTTCTTCCACCAGAGCCACTATGGTCTTTTCTCACTTGCAAGTTGCAATGAAAGGGATTTCATTTATTTTATTCCGAAGACATGCAACCCATGCTGAATATGTGCAAACTGTAAGTATGCACAACAGCATTATTAATAAATATGATTATTATTATAAAGCTTTGAAGGAAGGCTTTATTCTGTTAATAGGCCTCACTTTGTAAGTAGGATCTAAGTGAAAACAAGACAATAATATCTTGTTCCAATCTTAAAGCTCCCAAATAACTGGGATACCAATACTCTGTCCCTTTATCTTAAGCACCCAGACGTTCTTTTAATACCAGAATCTTGGCTCAGTGGTCTGATAAGTAGCTTCACTATTTTAAGGTTTTAGTGTTAAATATTTTTAAAACAAAAAAGTGATACATCCAAACCCTTAGTCAATGGAAGTATTTAAAACTATGCAGAAATCCTGCATACAAGGGATATGAAAACTTCCAAGATGGACAAAATAAAGAGTGAGAAAACTATAGGAAATACAGAGGCTCCAAAACTGGAGAAGGTATTTTGTTTTGTTGGTATAAAATTGTTTTAGGGACTTAAATGTACACATTGAGGGGTTTTGCCTACTAGCTTTATTTAGTAGAATTTTACATTATGTGAAATATAAATAAAAGCATATTTTAAAAAATATTATAGTTCTGTTTTCATTTATTTTCATATATGTACACTGTAATAGAATTAGGAATTTGTATGTTTACATAAGACTAATAAGCTCATTAATCCTTTGATTTGCTATTTCTGCAGTTACCTAAGGCATGTCTAGATCATACAATTTAAAATTATCATATGGTAACTTTCAATAGAGTACTATTTTCTTTTAATTTCCATATTTTTAGAAGGACAAAATGTATTTGGCAGTTCTTCCAACAAATTATACCCCCTTCTGTACAGTCAATAATCTGTTAAAGATAAAAACTAATAATTTTGAAATTTAAAGACAGCCACCACATGCTTCCTTTTGTACACAGAATGCCAAAAGAAAACTTAAGTACCATAAGAGCAAAATAGAGCCCTTAAAGTATATAAGAATCCATTAAAAATTGTTTTATACCAATGAATAACAAATCCAATCAAATTCTGTTTTTTGATTGATTTTATTTTAAACTCACTTTTATTTTATGTCACAAAATTGTAATTTGGGTATAAGGTTACTTCATACTTTAAGGGCATTCTGTCACTTTTTCCAGACCTGAAAGAGATCCAAAGATCATTCACCTGGCTAACCCACACCATATGAAAATGCCGACGCAGACCTACAAAATCATTACGCAAAACAAATTCCTCCAAATCATACATTACAGTCTCCAACTGTTAGATTAGCCAGTTTATCTGTGAACCATTGTTTTGTGCTTTCCTTAGCTCTCATATACACACTCTGGCACTTTGTCATTGCTGAAGAATGCTGACTAGTTTGAAACGGAAGAGATCGACATCATTCTTGCTTGAGATGGGGGCAGTATCCTCTCAATGTTGCAAAATATGCACCAAATCATTTAATACATGGAAATCTCTCCTGGTAGTGGCTGGATTACAGATGAGGATGAGAACCACAGACTTATGGATGTATTAATAATCTATTTTGAGACACTAAGAGACTGGTGCAGACACAACAGTACATGAGTTAAGCCCCAGAAGATCTGTCCATACCATTAGTCCTGGACAAAATGAACACCAGCTTCATAGACTGGAGTGTCACCTTTTCTGTAAAGAAGGCGCTTGAGTAGTTTGAAGTTTCTGTTTATATTTCTGCATCTGCTTTGACCGTGAATGCAGTTTGTTGAAAAGGTCACGAAATTTATACTGTGGAAATAAGGTTTCTAAAAAGCCTTCCAAGAAGACATAAACCATTCTCCTATTTAACTGGTTGTGCTGAAACATTTCAAAAACACGAAGAATACCTTTCCGTGTTGTCTCAGCCCCAATAATGTGCTTCAGTTCATCTATATGAAAAAGGAGAAAAACACATAATTTGTTACACAAGGCCTAAACCATGCTCTTAAAACACGTAAAGTAGACAGCAGAGTAAAAGATTAGTAGTAGGGATCCAGGGTATGCATTTCAGCTACGCATTGTAACTGAAAGAAAATTTATGCATCACCAAATGCATGTATCTATCCATGCACTTATGCAATGGATACTATGAGATAATACAGCACAGCATAAAGAGGTAAAATCCAGACTCAGAGATCCCTAATTACAATCACAATCCTGTCCCTCAATACCCATTTGATACTTACCCACTGCCCTCTTTCCCCATCTATTAAATTGCTATTTATAATAACTAATATCTTTATAGCTGTAAGAATTTATAAGGCTTTAATGAGATGTAAAAAGTGACCTATAAACTCTAAAACACTACACAAATATTCTTACTATGTCTAATGAAGAGTGAGAAATGCTAACCCCACAAAAACCTGGTTCATGATCTTAAAAAACTTGTGATATAGTAATTATGTCATAAAAATACTAAAAGTATAAAAAATGTTTACAGTGGGGAGAATTCCAGACAGATGAGATAGATAATAAGGAAAGGTTCCTTTCAGAAGTGATGACTAGCACAGACTTTGCTACTTGGGCAGGATTTTGATAGGTCTTGCCCAAGCAGCAAAGTCTGTGTTAGTCGTCACTTCTGAAAGGTACCTTTGTTACTAAGATGTCTGAGCATGGGATCACTGTTCATGATTATTCTTAATTATTCATCATCACGGGCCCAAAAAGTGTAAGTATCATTTTGCTGCTTTGGAAAAAAACACATGCAACTTCCAAGAGGTCTGTATCTAACTGGGGGTACAATATAATTTAAAGCAAAGATGTTGTGAATTTACTAAAAACAGGCAAAGAATTATCTATATATAAAATCATATACTTTTTTATCTACTCTTACTTCCTTCAGATCTTCACACCATTGTCTTCTTCTCAGTGAGGGCTTTCTTGGCCACCCTATCTAACACTGCAACCACTTGACACTGCCTACTCCTTTTTCCTGAAGTATTTTTTTCTTTAGTACTTAACATTATCTAACAGACTGTTTTATTTGTTTTGTTTTTTTCAGTTCCCCTATTAGAATGTAAGCTCCAAGAAGGAAAAGATAAGTGCAAAGCACAGTGTCTGACACTTGTTCCACTGTCAATAAATATTTAGTGAATAAGTGAATTAAAATTTCTTCCTTCTGCTTATCTGACTCAGTCTATAAATTAAATAGCACAATCTGGTTTATTATAATAGTATATTAAATAATATCCAAAGTTATTGTTTATTTTTCTAAAAATTATTTCTGTAATTTGCTTTTTACCACCAAATCCAACAGTATATAGAGAAGAACTGACAGTAATGTGGCAAATTTCTAATTTAACTGATCATTAAAATTTTATAATGAAAATATAGTTCTAAATAAGAAAAAAATGATAGGAAGAGAAACAGATATTGTATGATATTAAAACAACCAATACCACCTACTAGCCATACAAAACTGCCTTTCACATTACAGTCTCTCTTACTGAGAGAAGACAAATGAGATAAAGTAAATCTAAGTACACAGATGTATTCTAAAGAACTAAAATTCATACCAACAAAATGCCACTATGTATTCTTCAGATTATGGTTTTTTTTGAGACAGAGTCTCACTCTGTTGCCCGGGCTAGAGTGCCGTGGCGTCAGCCTGGTTCACAGCAACCTCAAACTCCTGGGCTCAAGCAATCCTTCTGCCTCAGCCTCCCAAGTACCTGGGAAACAGGCATGCACGACTATGCCTGGCTAATTTTTTCTATATATTGTTAGTGGGCCAATTAATTTCTTTCTATTTTTAGTAGAGACGGGGTTTTCACTCTTGCTCAGGCTGGTTTCGCAGTCCTGACCTCAAGTGATCCTCTGGCTTCCGCGTCCTAGAGTGCTAGAATTACAGGCATGAGTCACAGGGCCCAACCCATTCAGATTGTTTTAAGTAATAAAGATGAATAATGGGCAGTTGTTTCTAAGTAAATGGATTCTTTGAAAGAATTTGTTCTCCTAAGCAGAACAAATATTCTTCTTGAAAAACTCATACTTCATATTCTTTTATTAGCTCTTTTATCTGTCCGTATTTTATTTATTTAACAACTTTATTCCCCAAATTTTTCAAGGTAGAAGAGTGAGGTGGTTAAAAGCACAAACTTTCAAATCACTCAATGCTGAGTCAGAATCCTAGCTGTCACTTACTAGCTATAAACCTTGGGTAGGTTGCTTAACCTCTCTGAGCTTCTGCTTCCTTACCAATAGAGCTGTAATGTTCACAGTGCCTAGCTTAATAGTATTATTATGAGGCCGGGCATGGTGGCTCACGCCTGTAATCCTAGCACTCTGGGAGGCCGAGGTGGGCGGATTGCTTGAGGTCAGGAGTTCGAAACCAGCCTGAGCAAGAGCGAGACCCCATCTCTACTATAAATAGAAACAAATTAATTGGCCAACTAATATATATAGAAAAAATCAGCCGGGCATGGTGGCGCATGCCTGTAGTCCCAGCTACTTGGGAGGCTGAGGCAGCAGGATTGCTTGAGCCCAGGAGATTAAGGTTGCTGTGAGCTAGGCTGACCCCACGGCACTCACTCTAGCCAGGGCAACAAAGCGAGACTCTGTCTAAAAAAAAAAAAAAATAGTATTATTATGAGGATTAGTTAAGAATATATAAGAAGTGCCTAGCATAGTACTTGGTACATAATAAACTATCAAAAGGTAGTTATAATCAAAAGGCAGTTAAACTAGCATGATCAATGCCAAAAATTCAGAAGAACTACAAATTGATGAGATTTTTAAATAAACATGCTTACTCACCTGGCATAATTGCAAGTAATTTAGTTTTTCCTGCAATTCTCGTTCTCATTCGAATAGCTTTATCTCTGCATGGAACAGTCTCTGCTAAAATGCCATTTGGCCAAAATGCATCTCTATTTAAGAAGATTAAATAAATTTTGTAAACATTTTCATTTTCTAATGATATAAGTTGACAAAATTATTCCAAATTTCTACAGAAAACACAAATATGAACAGAAAGACAAAACATTTCTGAAATTTTATTTAGGTATAATGGTATTCAACAAGTATCAACTAATTGCAGGGTTCAATTTTAGGGTAAAAGGATACACACAAGAAAAGTAACAGATGAATCCTGTGCTGATGTAGTTCATAAACACTAACAAAGACAGCAAAATGGAATATACAGATGATCATTCACCGCTATGAAAGCTCAAAGTGGGCATGTGCTGGTTGAACGTCTCACCCCAATACAACCCCATGATATCCGGAATTTGGATACCTTAGAGTTTAACAGCTAATCTCCCTCAGTTATGCCACTCTGTTCCCCTTATATAATCCAACAGAAAACTAAATTTCATGCCCACATCTTATAGCTGGATTGATTACAATGGTCCTTTCACACATATAACCACCCATTCTTTTTGAATTTCACAATGTGCTTGATTCCTATTCCCTAATTCTTGGTCCAAAGGCAGGAACTGTGCACAATAACTATATTTCCATTTGAGAACGTGGTTTCGAGGAGACAGGCTCACCAGAGCAATTGTTCTTAAATTTTGCACGTTAGAAACACCTGGGAGCTTAAAAAAAAAAAGTCCAGGTCTCCCACCTGATTAATTAAGTCAGACTCTTTGGAGATGTGATACAGGCATTAAGAAATTTTAAAGCTCTACAGGCGATTCCAATGCACAGCCAAGCTGAGAATCACTGCCCCAGAAGAACATCATTCACCTACCCTAAAATAAGATGAACACGCCACGGCAGGTCATCCAACTTTTGGAAACAATATGGTATAGTGGGGAGAAACTTAGTTTCAGATTAAAGAAACTGGATTCCCCACTTTCCAGCACAAGAGCCTCTACTAGACTACTAAAACTCCTAAACTCTAATCCTCAATTTCCTCATAACAAAATAGAAACAAAAATACCTACCTCATAAAATAGGATAAAATCAGAAATCACACAAAAAGTACTGGGCACAGTGCCAAGCACACAGTTTTCCATGTTAATAGATCCCTTTTGCTTCCTTTCCTTTCCTTCAAAGTATATGATGCCATAAATTTTTATGCATTGCCTATCTTTAATTTTAGAAAAAAGGTCTGTTTCTCTGCTATCTGTGCTTTCCTTGAGGGACTGTAACTTATCAATCACTCCTCAATGATTGGCACAGAAGAGGGTCTCAATATATTTTTGTAGAATGAACATATGAATTGGAGTATCAATGCTGCTTAATTTGTGTTCTTTTGAGGGATTCAAATATTTAATAAAAAATTAGACCATAGCCAGAGACATATACTTTAAAAAAGTGATTATATGACCATGTCATTTCTATGTTAGTATTTCAATTATCTTAAAGCCATAGTACTATGAAAAAATGTAGCCCATCATCTTAAAGATTTTTCTTTAATACTTTCCCTACCCTGGTTTTAATGAAACAAAAATCAATGGGTCCATGTGACAAATATTTATTATAATCCTTAGAAGTTTTTGCTCATCAGTGATAACTAAAACCAATTTTATGGCCAGGAAAGAAAGAAAAGCAACAAAAGTTAATTAGTGATAACAATGCTAAACTCTGTACTACCTGAAAGAAGTGACTGTGTCTTAAGATATACCTGAAACGTTTCACTGAGTCAGCTACTTGTTCGGGTGAAGTCATCCAATCAACATGATCAACTATTTTTCTGAAAGCAAAAAAAAGTAAATAAGCAATCTCAAAATTTAGAAGGAGAATAAAATAAGCATGACTTTCATGGAGCAAGGAGCTTAATATGAAAATAAATTATCTTTGAGAGCAGCACACTGCTTAATGATCTTAAAAAGCCGAGAGAAGGAAATTCTCCTGTAAAGGTTGAGCAAAAACAAAGTAAGACTACATAACTGGGAGGAAAAAGAGTGGTACCTATTAATAGTATCACCGTATGTAGCTCTAATAAGTTGTTGAAGCAGGTTTTTTATATTCCTTCGCAACCACTGATTTCTCTCTTTTAAGTCAAATACTTCATCCATGAGAAGCAGCATTACCCTAAGGGGAATATTGTCATCCACCTGACAAAATATAGGAAGAAATAAGAATAAGTTTGAGTTAGCTATTTACTTAGAAATGGCTACATTTGCTGGTTTTATAGAATGATTAGTATTATTTCATAAGTCAGAGAACAAGTTACATTATCATCTTCGTAATTTGACATTTCATTCTAATTTAGAAAAAAAATATTTCTAATACTCATTTTGACAAAATACAGAGTTTTACAATCCTACAATGATGAGTAAATTCCATAGCTGTAGTTAAAAACACTTCTCAAAGTAGATTCATGATCATCTTAGAAAAAAAATGATTTGGCTGTTTTAGTAGAGACTGCATTAGTTTCATAAGGCATATGCTAGACCCTTTACCTATATTCTGATGCATCTTTTTAATAAGAAAATATTCTCAGTATCTTTCTGTATTTAATAGGACAAAACACAATCTATCCAGAGTAATGTGTTTTCCTTGGTTAGTAAGTTGTATGTATTTAGGTAAAAAAGCAGCTGGAATTCAATCCAGCATACAACTAAATTAACAATGCAAAAGGTACATTTCACTAAAATACTAGAATTTTCTTTTAGCTTTTAACAACCAAAAATTAGTACACTTCTATTATGGACGTATTCAATCAATGAGGTAAAAAGTAAAGGAAGACAACTGGAATGCTTTGATATAAAAAAATAAAAGTAAAAAACAGGCATAGATTTAGGACAACATAATTGCTAGTAATTTTATAATTCTTTCAAACTCTTTTCAACTATGTCTTCATTGGTGATGTAATTTAAACATTGAGAAAAAAGCATAAGGTATACATTTTTCACTGTCATGTTGTAAACATTTTCTTAGTATATCTTCCAGTTCAAAACTGAAAATATATAGCTTAACCAAACCGGGGAGAGAAGGAGACCTATTTTATTACTGAGACAGAATAAATACTGCTCTATTTTTTGATCAAGTATATTCAGGAGTTTAGTGTCACAAGACAATTCTAATAAAGTTAAACTGTAAAAACCACATACCAAAAGGTATGATGCTATGATTATTAAACTAGCAATACTCAATAAAACATTCCAAAATAATGTCGAAAAAGCAAAGTATTATTTTTGCTTAGGACAGTTTATTATAAACAAATTCAATCGAAAACCAAAAGGAGATAATTACAACTTCAACAGAATACAGCCCCAAAACAGATCCAAACAAATACAACAACCTGATTTGTGATAGGCAAGAAACAGCAGAGTGGAGAAAAGACACCCTTTTCAGTAAATGGTGCTTGGGTCAACTGGACCCCTACCTCATTCCATATACAAAAATTAATCCTAGATGAACCACAAATCTAAATGTTGACACGGTAAAACAAATAGGTTTTTAAAGAAAGTCATAGGACATCTTTGTGATCTTGCAGTAGACACAGATTACATATATAGCACACAAAAGCAACACGGAGAATAGAAGGTATTGTCAGATATATGTGATGCAAATAAATAAGACAAAAGATCTCATATTCAGATCATATAAAGTACTCCTAATAATCAAAAAGAAAGCCAAGCCAATAAAAAAACAAGCCAAAGATCTAGAAAGACAGGACATTCACAGGGCCAATAAATATAAGAAAAGTGTTCAACATTTCAACAGTCATCAGAGAAATGTGAATGCAAATGAAACATACAACTAGAATGACTAAAATTAAAGACACAAAATACTGAGTTCTGGCAGGACTTAGAACATTGGAACTTCCATGTACTGCTGGTGACATTATAAGTGTATAGTCTGAAAAACTATTTGGTAGTTGCTACTAAAACTGAATTTAAACATACCCTCTGATACAATAATTTCATTCCTAGGTATAGACTCAATAGTACTTGTAATTTTTTTTCCATAAAACAGACAGTAGAATGTTCATGGGAGTACTATTCATAATACAACAAATTGTGCTATATTTACAAAATGGAATACTATAAAGCCACGAGAATGAAGAAACTACAATCACACAAAACAAGATGGAAAAACATCACAATGGTGAACAAAAAAAGCCATACTTAAAGGAGTACATATCTTAGAGTTTCATTTATAGAAAGTATAAAAGCAGAATATTAGGACAGTGATTATCCTCAGTGGGGGAAAAGGTCAAGACAGGACGAGAGGCTTTTGGGGGTACTGGTAATGTTCTGTTTTTTGATCAGAGTGCTGATTACATAGGTATGCTCAGTTTGTAAGAATTTGTCAAGTTTCACACTTACAATATGTACACATTAATAATACATATACATATCTTACTTCATTATAAAGTTAAAAAGATCTGCCAAGTATGATTTAAATTACAACCAAATACTACCAAGAATAAAATTAACTCACATTATCATCAAGTTGAGCTGAAACTCGATAATGTTCAGGGTCTGAATCAGTCTTCGGAATTAAAGGAGGCACCTAAAAAGAAAAAAAAAAATCCCACAAAGTAAACGCATTAACGCAGACAGTGAAAGAACACAACACAATAATAAACTGAAATGAGTATCAGCATTTGATGTAACTTTTGGTACATTATATAAGCAATCTTTCACAATTAAAGTTTGAAAGCAATTATAAAAGGGTAATTATTTCATTGCCAAAAGTTTTTTTTTTCCTTTAAAAAAAGGACTGACTTTTGAGTTGGAAGGGGAGATTACTTAAAATTCCCATACTTTTTAGAAGAATTAAATCTAAGAAAGGTTAATGACTTCAAGACCAAATACTCACACACTATACAATGACATTTTGGTCAACAAGGTTATACCATAATTTGACTATACCTTTTCTATGCTTAGATATGTTTAAATATATAAATACTTAGCATTGTGTTATAACTGCCTACAGTATCAGTACAATAACATATCAGGTACAGGTTTGTAGCCTAGGAGCAATAGGCTATACCATACAGGCTATGTGTTTAGCTATAGTAGGCTAAACCATCAAGGTTTGTGTAAGTATACTCTATGATGTTCGCATGACAACTAAATTGCCTAATTACACATTTCTTAGTACCTCTCCTGTTGTTAAGTGATACATGACTATAGTTAGTAGTACAGCCAATGAACAGAACTCTAATCTTTCTTTTACCATAAAGAACATTTGATAGCATGTTAAGAGGTTTAAGGAATTAACCAATTGTTTGACAGGTTATGCCAAGAGATGGACAGAAAGACCAGTGTTAGTGGAAAATCATTTGTTAGCACCGGAAAGACTATCAAGGTAACCTATTTTAACCCCCTCATATTATTGGTGAGTATAAGGAAACCTGGTATAAGGTGACTTCTGTAGAAAGTCATAGAAGTAGTTAGCAGAGGAAGTGGTACTGAAAAATTCTTATTTTAGTGTTAGTTACTTCCTCACAATTAGAAGTAAAAATAAAGCATCAGGGAAAGTATGAGAATTGTAGAACAGTATTGATTTACACACACTATTTTAGGAATGGTCTCTTACATTAAAGATAACCTATCTATGTTTATATACATTTTCCCTTCATTCAAACATACTCTAGCAAATAGAAAATTCTAATAGCTCAAGGATTTCTTTTATAGCTTGATTACAACTTTAAATAACTATGTCAAAATGATTTTTTTGTTTGTTTTTATAGAGACAGAGTCTTGTTATGTTGCCCAGGCAGGTCTAGAACTCTGGGCTCAAGCAATCCTCTCTCCTTGGCCTCCCAAAGTGCTGGGATTACAGGTGTAAGCCACCATACCAGGCCTCAAAATGATTTAAAAAATGTAAATTAGGACTGCAACAAACTACCTGGTCTAGGTACCTTTATCTGCTAATGTAATGATAAAAGCTTCCTGGGAAACTCTTCTATGTCTTTCAGAGGTATATTTCCAGTAATGTATGACTCCAGAGACTGACAGTAGTGAAGAACTTTTCATCTGTTTGATCGGATAATCACTCCATCATGTGAATCAGAAGTAATAATACTTTATGTTTCCTGAGTGAATACTAGTATAACTCATTTGCAAAATAGCACTTATGTGTTTGTTATTGAATTTAATAGCATTGTAGGATTTAAAAATGGCACAATGGAATAAAACAGTACAAAGAATATTAACTTTAGTAATTTTAAATATTTATTCAAAATGGATTTTAATACTATACCATAGCAGAGACTGACAAGTGACTGGATTTTACAGAATCTGTTTCTGATAAGCATTTATTCTCTTTAGTTTTTCATTCTTAATGATACTATGTGTCTAGAGGACTTTGGAAGAGAAATAAGGTAAATCTAGGCAGGAGCCAAATATATCTTAGTTGACTTAAAAATAGTTTGCTTTTAGACGTTACTAAAAAATGTCTTCTTACCTTGAAAAATGATTGCTTTATGTCTTGACCTAATCTTTCTGACATTTTGCCCATGTTGTCTGACATTTTAGTCATTCCCTCTGCCAAGCTATCAGGAAGGGATTTAACTGCATTTGAAACATTCCTCATAGAATTGCGAAGTGGATTTACAAAAGTGTCCATCTAAAGGAAAAAAGATATTACACCATGACTTCACTGTATCCAATTTATTATTCAAATGTGAAACCTGAGAAAATAGAGTACTACACCTAAATGATGTAATAATTTTCTGGTCTATATTATGCAATTTCATTTTAAAAACAAAGAAATGTTGTCTTTAGTGTGTTTTAAAAATGTATTTTTACATTCACATATATGATTTAAAAATTTGACTGATGAGATTGCTAGAAAAATGAATATAAGCTAGGCTGTCTTCTTATTAAAGAATTCTGAATTAAAACATTTCCAAAACAGAAATTGATACAAGTAGAATTAGCCACTACAGACTTTTGCCACAATTCACATTGCCAGAGGACAACTCAGAGTAAAACCAAAGAACAGAAACCAAGATGAACAAGGATTTGAAAAACACTGCCACTGGTAAAAAGCGATTCAAAGATAAAAAAGATGAAGGTAATCTCATGAATGGCTGATAATTCTTGCATGTGTATGCACACACACACACACACACACACACACGGTCATGCACACATGTAATTCTAATTCCTCATATGTAGTTTTTGGTCAACTGGACAGTATGTCCAAATCAACTGGAACATTACTTCCAACACTCTGTGTATATGTGTTTTAACTGTAATAACTGTAATAACATTATAGATAAGCTAAGTCATGAGAACACAACACATATAGAATTCTAAAGAGATAAGCATGATAACATTTAAAATATGCAGCTTGAGGGAAAATTAACACCACTCTAACAAGTTACAATTTTCACAGAAGACACAGAATTTGAGACACATAAAAGGCATGAATTTCACTTAATCTACAACCTGAGTTAAAAGTTGCTTGAATATCTTCGTGAATATTTTAGGTTTTTATATATCTTACACTTCACAGCAGAAGCTATTCAGCTAATATATTCAGCTAATATGACTTGAGTTGGTTAAATGAATACTACACCTCACATGCTATCTAGGCATGGGGCTAACTACCACTGATAGTCTTTTAAGATAAGAGATCTTATATCTATATAATGAATTACTTTATAATTAAAAATAGTTGTCTGTGTACCATCCCAGACCTACAGAATCAATTTTTTTCCTTTTTTATTTTTTTCCTCTTTTTTATTTTCTTCCTTTCCCTCCATCCTAACTGTTCATAAGAAATAGAATCAATTTTGTTTTTTCTAATTTCTGAGGGTAAACCCCAGGTATCTATATTAGAAGGGAACAGGCATGAAAAGAAGATAGAAAAACCACCACAGGTGACTCTAGATGCCTAACTCCGAAAGAAGTAGAATTTTATAAACATAAAGGCAGGGTCTCCATCAGTGTATGGTACCATTTCTGAAAACAGAATTTGTCTTAAAATAGATTTTCAGAAAGAAAGAAAAAAACTTTTAAATTACCAGGCACAGGAGTAAATTATGGATTGCTTGCACCAGTATACACTTTGGCTGACTTACACAGATACTGTTTATTCATTCAATTACCACCCCAGCCGAGTTATTTGTATTGGTAACAACATGCACAATGGAATTCTAGCTTAAATGTTGATCTCTAACTATAGTTTAAAATGCCTTCACATCATCATACAAAACTGGATAGAAACATACTGTGTGCAAAGAAAAAAGCTGCTTATCAGTTACTCTTTCTAGGAATTGTTCCACAGATTTTGCAAAGCTAGGGTAAACTGAGTGATCAAATTAATGTGTTGTACAGTATTATTTCTTAAGCTCTAAATAGCCACTGATAAAATGTTTACTGATGATTTTCTCTAATAGCTATTTAATTTCTAGTATAATATAATTAAGGAAAAAGTAAACTATAATTTAGCCAAAATGGAAACGTAGTTGAAAACCCCAAATTCTTGATATGCATACAAATTATGACAATCCAAAAGAGGTCAAGATGACCTTCGTGACAGCTGACATGACTTAAGAAAATCAGATGTTATTGCAGATTGCCAGAAATGATTCAGAAGAATCTTTAGACTCCATTGATAATTTTTTTAAAAAGTGCTGTCTGTTTGAGCATACATATGCCTTACTGTTGGTTGGTAAAAAAAAAAAAAATAAGGAAATAAAAAGTTGTATACATTTAATATAATGTCTCTATCTCAAAAAGCTGTTATCCCAATTGCTTTATCCGAAAACTGATACAATCTTAAGACAGAGGAAATAAGACAGATAAACATCAAAAAGATTGAAGACTGAAATGCATCTCTACTGACAAAACTATTTAAAGTTGGAATTCAAACTCAATCACTTCAATTACAAACTACACAGATAAGCACCATATTTTTTTCCCCACCACTATAAGGTCATTACCCTGGAACCTGTCAAAACGAACATTCAATTTAGAAATGTTAACATCTATTAGGATATTGAAATCCAATATCCTAGAGCTGCCTACCCTAAGCCCCAGGCCGTGGACCAGTACGGTCTATGGCCTGTTAGGAACTGGGCTGAACAACAGGTGAGCAGCAGGCGAGTGAGTGAAGTTGTATCTGTATTTACAGCTGCTCCCCATCATCCACATCACTGCCTGATCAGAGCTCAGGTATCCCACTGATTCTGCATTATGGTGAGTTGTATAATTACTTCATTATATAATACAATGTAATAATAATAGAAATAAAGTGCAGAATAAATGTAATGTGCTTATCTGCTTGAATCATCCCTAACCACCCCACCAACACCTCCACCCCACCCACTGCCCCCCATCCATGGAAAAATTATCTTCCATGAAAGTAGTCCCTGGTGCCAAAAAGGTTGGGACCACTGTCCTAGAGTAATCCTATGAAATTCTCATAGATACAATTGTTAGTTTTACTTATTTTGTATCAATTCTTTAATCTTTTTAGAAAAGGTTAGTCTTTTGAGAGGGAAGATAAATAGAGGGGAAGTCCTTTTTCTTTTTAAATTTTCATTTGTAATAATTTCTAATTTATAAAAGCTTGCCAAAATAATACAAATGGCTTCTGCATACCCATCATCCAGCTTCCCCAACTGTTTCTACTGCTTCTACTATTATTGCTACTAAGAGCAAACATTTATTCAGAGGTTAATTATTTGCCAGGCTCTGTCATACACAGAATATCAAACTTGATTTACATAATGCTCTAAAATGAGGATTAACATCATCATTTCTTGATGAAAATAAAGTACCAAAGGTTAAGTAACATGTTCAAGGTCACAGCTAGTAAATAGCAGGGAAGCGATTTGAATCAAACACTGCCTGATTTCAAAGCCTGTGTTATTATCCACTAAATTACCCTGCCCAATTTGAGAATGTAATCATTTATTGTCTTAACCTCGCATCTTATTCCAAATATAGGTTTTATATCCCATTTTAAATTATTTAAAATAGTTCCTCTTCTCGATATGAGGCAGGGAACTGCCACAAATATCTAGTATTGAGAAAACCAACACACTAAGGATTTCTATTATATAACCAATATATTCATTCAGAACACAGTCTCCCATGAAAGTACCCTCAAGCAAAGTCTAAAGTCCTGATTCAACAAACACTACAGTTAAAAGGGTAGAAAAAAGTCACATTTAAACAAAAGAAAGTTCAAAAACAAGAAATGACAGTCTCTCCAGATCAGAAGGCATCAATCTGCACAAGAATTCCAGCAGTAAAAAAAACAGATCTTAATGAACCAGTCCTCTCCCCCAAAGGATCACACCAGCTCTCTAGCAATGGTTCTCAACCAAAATGAAAAGACTAAAAGATAAAGAATTCAAAATATGGATTGTAAGGAAGCTCAATGTGATCCAAGAGAAAATGGAAAACCAACACTAAGAAACCAGAGAAATCATTCAGCACATGAATGAAAATTTTACTGAAGAGATCAATAAAAAAAACAAATAAAAAAGAACTCTGAAAATGAAAAATTTATTTAAGTAAATACAAAACACAATGGAAGGTTTTAAGAAAAGGTTAAGCAAAAGCAAGAATATCAGAGTTTGAAGATAAGTCTTTCAAATTAATCAGGTCAAAAAAAAAAAAAGAAGAAGAAAAAGAGAGAATTTCCACCCTGATCAAGAATGAGACCCTATCTCTACAAAAATAGAAAAATTAGCCAAGCATGGTAGTACACACCTGCAGTCCCAGCTACTCAGTAGGCTAAGGCAGGGGGCTTGAGCCCAGAGCTTGAGGCTACAGTGAGCTATGATGACGCCACTGCACTCTAGTCTGGGCAACAAAGTGAGACCCTGGTCTCAAAAAAAAAAAAGAACCAAATAAAAAACCTATTTTTGGAAAATCTATTTGAAGATAATGTAGGAATTCCCTGGTCTTCTTAGACATTTAGACATACAGGTATACAACAAGCTCAATGAACTCGTAGGAGATTCAGTACAATAAGTGTATCACCAAGACACACAGTAATCAGACTGGCCAAAGTCAACATAAAGGAGGAACTCCCACAATCAATGAGACAAAAACACCAATTAATTTGCAAAAGAAAACCCATCAGACTAATAGCAGATTTCTCAGCAGAAACCTTATAAGCCAGAAGGAACAAGGGTCCTATCTTTAGTCTTCTTAAACAGAATAATTGTCAGTCAAGAATTCTGTATCCTGCAAAACTAAATTTCATAAATTAAGATGAAATAAAGTCTTTCCCAAAACAGCAAATGCTAAGAGAATTTGTCTCCACTAGACTATGAGAAATGCTCAAAGAAGTTCTAAACATTGAAACAAATGGTCAATACTCACCAGTATAAAAACACTAGAAAGTAAAAACTAATAGTTCTGATAAAACAAGGAA